GCACCACCAAAACGTTCAATAACACTTGATGAAGCTCATAATCAAATTGATGATCAAAGTCGACCAGCATCATCAATATCATCAGCTTCACTTCCTGTTTCAATAACATCATCAAAACCTGATTTTATTACACGACCATTAATTGAACGACATCCAAAAGTTATACAACAGCCTCAACCTCCACCAACCACGACAACAAAAAAATTTCGTGTCGAATATCCAAAAAAATCTTCTCCACCAACTATTGCACCAATGGTAGTTGAAGGTAAAAAAGTAACATCAGCAAGAAATTCAGCACGTGATAATGATGAATATTTACAACAATCAATAAATTCAACAAAACATAAAATAACATCAGGCGTACAAAAATCACAAAATTTATTAAAAACAAGTTCAACTAGTTCAATGACATCAATTACTCGTGATGATAATATTTTAAAAGATGAAAGTATGACAATAACAGATTTACCTTTAAATAAAAGTATTAATCGTCGTTCAACGAACAGTGATCGAGAACCAACAAAATCAAGAAAAATTGAATTTTCAGTTCGAGATGGTGTCAATTGGAATCAAGCATCATCTGAGTAAGAAAATAATTAGTCTTATAATACGAAGATAATAATCTACAATAGATAATTAGATTTCATTCAAACGCTTAAATCAATTTTTTTAATAGCAAAGAATTAGACAATGTCACAGAATGACTTTCTTTGTCCTGTATAGGATAAAGGATTCTTCTTCATGTGATCTGCAGGATGGTTTAGTTATGACATTTTTTAACAAGAAAAAACTTTCATATTCATAAATTTTATCGCATGTTTTCCAATGGAAATGAACAATCGGAGAGGATAAATTTTCTTTTTACTGTTGTTTCTTGAATTTATTTGCCCACATTATAGAATATATCGAATTATCTAGAAAACAGTAAATTCTTATGTTTCAAATCGTTTTTTTTTTGCAGAAAATACAGTCATTCTAATTCATACAACAGATGCATAACAATATTTCATTGTGAAAATCTTCAAAATGATATTTTTTTTTTACTTAAAACTCATTTTTTGGAAAATAAGAAAGATTATTGTCTCATAGACAACTCAATATGCTTTATAATCTGAGTAGGTGACAAACGATTTGGCAACATGTTTGTTAGTCTTGAAAACCAATATATAAAGACTTAAGGGTATTTCTCATGATCATATTCGGAATCAGTATGACCAATAAATTGTAATCTAGTCTCATTTGGTGAGAAAATGAGTGATCAGTTGAAAAATTTCCCTTGTGAGTTAAATAATCTTTCCGTCGAAGCACTTGTCTCTGGCATGGAACGTACTCTCCTGACTATTTTTGATACTAGACTAGAACTTCATTGAACCACAATCAATTAGGTGAGTTGGATGTCCTCCAGATCTCAAATATTATCTTGCAGATCTTGGATCCTAAAGAAAAAATGATTGTTCTGTTTCTGCATGTGCAAAATACGTTACCTATGATATTCTTAGAGTTCTGCAGGACAAACTTTTTTTCCGTCTCGAATTTCATTTTATTTTCAAAATGTCTCGATCTAGAATATGCGCTGTAGGACAGAACAAATGAGATTTTTCAACATTTAGAACTGTCGTACATGACTCTAAACATTCTCTAGTATAGAGTACATTTCAGCTATAACCTATTGCATAGAAGTCTTGGCATACAATATTCACTTACTTTTCGGTCACTAATTCGAGCCCGAAATAGTTACTTAATATGAAACTTTTTTGCTTTTTTTCAATACATATTCAGAATTTCTTGCAAAGGGATGATTAAACACCTATCACATGATTGTTCCAAAAGATACGAAATAGTTGTTATGTAGAATACTTTATTTAGTCAACTTTGTATTTCAATTGAAAGCTATCAAATTCAAAATGCGAAACTGTTTTTAATGGCTCAACTCTCTAGAGAAAAGTTTACTCCACAAATACGAAAGTCTATTTTTATAAAATTTTGCCATTATTCTAGATGTACATGTTTAGATCAGTACATGCTATTTACTTTTTCTATCTTATCATGCATGCAGATTTTAAAAGTTTTGTACTTTTTAAAGCAATTTTTGAGATAACTATTTTTTTTAGTATTGTCAATTTACATAAAAATTAGCTTTTTATTAAAAATGTATAGATAAGATTTTGCTTTTAATAATATGTTATTTTGTAAAAATGAAGTGCGGGTGTAATAATGTTGAGTTAAAGTTGTTCCAAGGTGCACGTTAAGAACTGCAACAAAATTCCTATTTTGCTTTGTGCAGACGTAATTTTGGACTTTTCTAGAAGATTTAACGATACTTGTTCAATCTTACTTCAGTAGGAAATTCAGATTCTAAGTAACTGCTTCTTGCACTAACTAGCTGTCTTTTTGTGGCAAAACTTTCGTAGCATACGTTACCAGAAGAAAGTCATAGTATTGAAAGAATTTGTCTGGATTTTTATTCTCATTAACATTTTTTATATTTTAGATCAACGGCTCTTAAAACAGTTTCTTCCTCTGGACGTCGTCGATCTTCAAAAGTAAATACTCCTCGACCATCAACACCATCAAATCCGACAAATTCAAGTAAAAAAGAAAAAAAAAGCGATCTCAATCACAATTGAAATCTTATTTTCTTTAGAACTTGCTCAACAATTCAGTACATATGATAATGATGATGGACGATCATCACGTGCATGTCAAGATGTTGAAGATGAAGAATGTTTTAATCAACTTCGTGAAGAACTTTCTTCAGAGTGTTTGTCTAAAATTTAAATTTCAAATATTTATTAATTTATCATTTGTTTTGTGTTTTTATTTTAGTGGGCATGGCAAGTCCTGGTTGGGATGCAAGTTTAAGTGAACATGTATTGAAAAATCTTCGTGCTACTGAAAGACCATTTAGTGAAAAAGATTTACAAGATAATTTAACAATGCTTGAAATGAAATTACGGTAAATTCTTTTTTTTTATGAAGAAAATAAAAGAATTTCTTTTATTTTAAATCATTTATAGAGAAACTGAATTGATTCAACGGTCGCAAACAGATGATGATTTAACAGTACATGAAGAAATTCGAAATTTATGAACAATTTTAAATGATCTGTTTCATTGGACTTTTTTTTTTCTTTTCTATTTTAATGACCAGTGATCTTTACTTCACAAATGCTAGTAGAATGCATGTTGATATTTTTTTTCCCTTTCCACTTAATCTACTTAATTAATTATAAAAAAATAAAATAAAATAATTAATGACCGCAGAAAGAGAAAACTATGTAAAATTAGAAACAAAAGAAGTTAGATTTAAACTTTAAAAACTAATCAATACAATCGTAATCAATCTATTTTATGAAAAATAACTTCGAAACTATAATATTATTATTTTTACAGTATAATTCAAATAATGATTAAGTGATATAAGTTTTTTTCTATATAAGGTATGGGAAAAAGTTCGCGACATTTTCTTATCGATACTAATAGAAAAATTTCTAAGAACTTTTTTTTTTTCATATAATATACTAAAAGATGCAGCGTGAAAAGCTTTACAATTTGCATAAGACCGCTTTTTTTACAGTTGCCCTTTTTCTTTTCAAAATCATCAAAACTTCAAGCAATCAAATTTCGACCGTGTGAAAACGATATTTTTTTCGGCACAAGATGGACTTAAAAAAAAAATACATCACAAGATGCAGCGTGAAAAGCTCTATAATTTGCATAGGATCACTTTTTTACAGCTGTACTTTTCGTTTTCAAAATCGACAAAATTTCTGAGCCATCAGATTTCGATGCTGCGAAAAAGTCTTTGTGCAATACACGGCCAATGCGTTTTTTTCCTCTTTACCACCTGAAATCTTTTATTTAAAAAAAAACAAAATATACCAAAAGATGCAGCGTAAAATGCTCGACAATCCACGAAGGAAAGCTTATTTTAATTGTCTACTTTTTGTATACAAAAGAAAACAAGATTCTGTGCGATCAATTTTCGACGCTACGAAAAGATAACATGAAAAGACATTTCTTTTTTTCTTATTTCATCATTTTATCTCCTAATATGT